TGTTGCATGTATGTTTTAATAATATATACACACAAATAATATACAATAATAAATAATATAACTATTAATACGTTTATAATATGTATGTATGTATTTTCTATTTAAAAACTACTGACTATTATTTCATATGTCAGGTTTTACAGGGTAAAGTCAATTCAAATACATCAATTAACATAATTATTTAACTCATTCTTTGTCCCAGAAAATCAGTAAAATATACATTAATCATTGAAATGTCTTTTGCCATTTCTGTTTGACCTCATTTAACCTTTGCACTCAATTAAAAATTTAACAAAGTATTTCAAAATCTGTATGCTTTGGTTTATACTGGCAGCATCTTTAAATATATACTTACTATATTTCCTATAGATGTATTCTAATACTCTGAAATATGTGAACAGTAATATGAGATTACTTAGCCCTTTTATCATCTTTTTCTTGGGTGGTTTTTAAAGGTTTTGTGGTACAGTTATTTTTTGTTTCAATTTTAATTTCAATTTCATCCCCACAAGGAGAACACACACACAGTAGACTCACAGAGCAGCTGCACTGGAGGCAAGGGTTTGATCTCGACACAAACTGCTTCCCATTCTCATAGATTTCACCCTCATGTTCACATCCTAAAAATTTACACGGAAGAAAAAACAAATACACCTTTTATAATGCACAGGTAAGTACTTTGGAGTAGCATTTAAATACTATAGTATATGAAAGTGTCACTCATTCACAGGGGCGTTTTTTTTGAGGGGGCACGAATGAAAGCGGGGGGGTTGCTCATCATGCTTGTCATGACACACAGCCTGTATATATATATATATATATATATATATATGTATATAAAATATGTAATATAATATATTATATATAATATGTATATAAGTGTATATAAGTATAACTGATATAGCCTTATGTTTTATTTATTTTTCACTTTTTATTCGAAATATTCCCAAACGTGTTAACTATAACATGAAATATCTCGATTCTCAAATATGTGTAAGTAGATGCATTTTGCACCTTTATATAATAGTGTAACTACGCATAAAGACCCGTCTTTTTACTTATACCAGATATGGGTCATGCCATAAAATATTTTTAACAAGACTGACTTTGTATTTAATGTGAATTTAATAGAAACATTGTAATTTACTAATTATAACACTTTCATTGTACAAAAAGCAAAGAACATTGACATTATCAAAGAACATTTTAAGCACTCTCAAAAAATCTCATTATAATCACTGAAGCTGTTTACCCTGTGAAATAAATATCCTACTTGCATCGTATGTACAACTGCACTTTGTTGTTTCTGTTGAGAGAATCATCAGAGAGTAGAATTCCTTCAGCGAGCGCGCGCACTGAACAAAACATTTCCACGATGACTCATCTGTACGCCTCTGATTGGTCATTGCATTCATAAGCTCAACAGAATCGTGTGTGATTTGTTACAATGTGCAGCTGTAAAAACGCATCTGTCTCTGGATCAGCGCCAGGCAAAGCACGAACAATTTGAATTTAGCAGCCGATGCTGTGCTGCACTGCACCTTTTAATAACGCCAGTGTGATTGTATGAAATATAAAAAAATATTATTCGGCTATTTTTGTCTTTTGGAAGCTGCATTCAAAATCCACTTGGCTCAAAAATCATGCCCAGTTTGAATGGGCATGACGCCTCTGCTCATTCATTGGTATATATATCAAAGCACAGTGTAGGTGTGTGTGTGTAGAGATGGATTGTGGGTACTTGTTTGGCAGACAGGGCAGCAGGTTGTCTGAGGAGCAGGTGGTTGCTGACAGGATTGTGATGGACATGGATTCACATTACACTCTACTCTGCCATGCTAGAAAATAAACACACACACACACACACACACAAAACTATGTCACAGTTGCACAAGACATGCCAGCAGGAGAGAAGGACACGAGTGAAGATCAAACACCAAATCTTTTAGATTTCATACTTCACATGAACAGCGGTTGCAGTCGTCTGGGCTGAAGACATCACCATTGCTATAGATATCGCCATGAAAGCTGCATTCTGCAATCAGAGACATACACAAGTTGTATTGCACTGGAACGAAACCCCTATGGACACAATCTGAGATAAGCATTTCAGATGAACCACAGCAGGTAAAAGTGTGTGTGTGTGTGTGTGGTGTGTGTGTTTGTCTGCAAGCGTATTTCCTACCCGCATCAGATCCAATCTTATCTACAATATGAACTATAAAGATGTCAGAGTATTCATGAGTGACTCCAGACTGTACTAGATATCTGATGTCTGAAAATGAGATGTTAACAGAAATGAAATGCATTCTCACGTAATGTGGGGTCAGTGGGGTCAACGAGGTCAGTGGGATTCTGAAATTCATGTATATAATATATAAATTATATACATACATACTTTAAACAACTCAGGAACCAGGAGACGATGATAACACAACTAAACATGACGGAGAACGGATCAAGACTAAAGGGAGAACTGAGGGCTTATAAGCAAGAACCAAACAAAGGGAACGAATCAGATGAATAATCAACACAGGTGGAAACTAATGAGCTAATCAGGGAACACAGGAAAACTAGGTCACTGGCAGGAAGAACAGAAACACAGGGAAATCTAAACAGAAACAGAACATAAATGTGACATATACTGTATATATATATATATGTAAATTAACTAATTTCTTAGCTTGTAAATTAACTAATTTCTCTATCCAATGCTGTCACGTCACGTGACAAAAGAACGAACGATTCGAAAGACACGAGAGATGAACTAATCAATTCTCTTTCCGGCTCAGACTGCATTGGTTAAACTTATGGGGCTGTCACGTGATGAATGAACGACTCAAACTGAAGACTTGTCAGATAAGAGGTGAGGCGAGCTAATCATAGACTGAAGACCCAGGTAAACACTGAATTAATCTTTTCTGTTTCTTATAGCAGTTTTGTATTGTTTGTAGTGTGATCAACGTTTGCGTAAGTAGTAGATGTATTAGGGAAGTAACACGTAACATTTTAATTATATTTTGCTAAAATGAACGAAATGACTCGAAAAAAGATTCGTTCATTTTGCTGAACGAGACTCAAAGGTCCGAGTCGGTAAAATGATCCGAACTTCCCATCACTAGTGAGCTTGTGATTAGCGCAATGGAGCATGGGAAATGTAGTCCAGAGTGATGTGTAATAGTCTGTGTGGTGTGAGTCAATATAATGGGAGGGCGACCTCTAGTGGCAAGTGGATGGAAGCTCATGGACAGGATTCGTGACACACCGTGACGAGGCATTTGCACATAGCATGTGTGACAAGTACACACACACATTAAATCATCACACCTTTCTGTGCCAAAAAAAGACTCATTTTATTGAATACATCAAACTGTCCTACAACAGACCATAAAAGCAAAATAGAATATGTCTATTTTATGTTTTTATACTGGGGTGCACCAGTGCAAATCAATTTTAAGCCACTTGGCATTACAGATAGATGCAGACAGATTAAGACTTTAGGGAAAACCAGTCTCTATGAAGAATAAATAAATCTGTGTAATGCGATTCATTATTTTCATTTGTGGCGTGCATGTAAATTCCCCCGATCTATGGTTTGATGATTGGCTTGCTGATTAAAGCTTAGATGGTTAATGAGTATGTATGCTGTAATTAATTATTGTGTGTTTTGATTCCTAATGCTGATGTAATGGATGTTAGATTACTCACCATTCAAGCGGTTGCACTGAACTTTCCCATGGGTGCAGTAACAGACAGTGCGGCTGTCAGGAGACCAGCGGGACCCCTCATCCATCTCACGTCCCTCCCACACGCAATTCCGTTTCGAACACTCACACGTTTCCAGGTAGTCAACTCTCGCCTGCAGGTCCGTGTTCTACATACATACAGAGAGTTGTTAAAACGTGTGTATAAAATCACTTGTTTGTATACTTATCCAGCAGGACACACTTAAAAAAAGTATTACAAAATATATTTTGCATTAGCTTTTATTTTTATTTTTAATTTTCATTTTTAGTCACTTTGTTATGTGCTTTTGGCATTTGTATTAAATTAAAAAACAAATATCTCAACAAAGTGTTAATTTATTTTATTTCAGTTTTGGTTTTAGTTTAATTTCAGTTAGTAATTTTAGACTTAGACTACACTTAAATTTATTTCCATTAGTTGGCAAGGTAACATTTTAGCATCTCTGTTTTGTCATCTAATTATATATATATATGTCTGAATACTTTCCGTACCCACTGTATATATATATATACATGAAGAGTTCAGTTCAGAAGTGCCATCTGAAATTTTCATCTAAAGTTACCATTTTTATAAGGCTCCTATAGTTATGTTCAGTTCTTTCAATTTAATGGCATAGAAAAGGACCTATACATTGCCATTAAAGTAAAATTACTGAACCTAAACATAGGAGCCTGATA